GTGTCACCGTGAGCATGTTAGCATGCTGACATTAGCATTTACAGAGCCACTAGCTAACATGTTTGCAGACATATAGTCTTGTTTTTAGTTTGTTCCAACCTCATTAAAACCCTATATGTGAAAGTATTGAAGTAGTAACACTTCTCTTCTCTTTGAATTCTTTTGACAAAAAGAAATATATCCTTTACTAGAAATATTGTCATCTACATAATCTACAAGGGAGGATGAGCAGTCATACTGTACATTATATCCATCCATCCATTATTTATATATTTGAATATCATGGCAATCTGCTAATTTATTATTTATTATTATTATTTCTTAAGTACAAGTGGAAACTCCTTTTATTAAGTATAGTCTGAAAATATTTTGAAAAAGAAGAAAGAAAGCCACCACTGAGAATAAGATTAATCCTTGTAGAACCACAAATATCTGCACTACATTTCATGGCAATCTGGCAGGTAGCTTTTGTGTAAGTGTGAAGATTACTGACAGCAAAGCCCCATCGCTAGCAGGGCGAACACAAGCTTAGATTTAGTGTCCATGTAACACAATAACCACCACCATGTTTTTCGATTTCAGATTGAGGAGGAACTGGCCGCTCTTCAGAAGGAGCGCACCGAAAGGATCAAGCACTTGTTGGAACGTCAGGACAGAGAAATAAATGCTTTTGACACAGAAAGTAGAAGCCTCGGCTTTGGAAGCCTGGGATCTCTGGACTTCCCCAAAGAAGACAACAGATGAAAGTGGATTTATCTATAGAGGACAACATATCTCTGCCCTTTTCATGTCCACTTGAGAGTTTGTCACAACCACGGTGACAAAGCTGGATAACTTTCTCGATTGCTTTTCTTCTCTCTTAGATATTGCATCTTTGAATCGAGGTGTTAACGTGCAATGAGAACTTCTTTTGTGAAACTTAAAGGGGGAAAGTAAATCAAAAGAATCTACAACAACATGTCAATAAAAATCAAACCTAGTCAGTGTAACTCAAAACCTATGTGTTAAAAATAACAGACTCTTTCCTCCATGCCATTTCCTCCTTTTGGTATGAATTGAATAAATCAGGAAATTTTAGTAAAATTGGCACTTTGATATGTTTAAGTAGAAACCCATCATGTTCGTATGATGCTTAATGTGTGTGTTACATGGAGGGACATTGTGGAATGTGAGCTACGGATTCCCCCGTGGTGTTAAGCTGCTTTGTCTTTTTTTTATTAGTTTTATGTTTTTTGTTCTATTTATTTTATGCTCTGAATGTGAATATTACTGTATGGGGTCACTGGATAAAATGGAGTTTATTCATTTAATTTTTTAGTTTTTTTTTGGTCATACTTCCATATTGTGCTTATGCATACAGTATACTGTGGTCCTTCACTTTTCTAGGCAACAGTTCTTTCCTTTTTTTTTCTTTGATATGTAGGATCAATTGGCATTAGCTTGATCAACCCGTTTATCTTATCACAATTCAAGATCCAACTTGGTAAAACTGCTTATTATTGCATGCACTTTAAGGACAAATTCAGGTTGTGAAGTGAAGCATGAATCTGTCAAGAGATTTTAGCTGTTTGTAAATAAAAGCATTTTTTTGTTTTGTTTTAAGCCTATGGATACTGGACATAAGCGCCATATTTGATATGATAATTTCACAAATGCCTTTATTTAAGTTGTGCCTGAAGCAGATTTTAGTTAAGTGTTTGTTATATCTATATTTTATTTACTGAGGCCGGCACCATTTTTTTTTGGTTTCATCTAAACTTGTGAATCATTTAATGTTCACTAATCAAAGTTCTTGTAAAGGAAAATGGTGAGAATTGTGCTGTATAACTTTTGATATGAATATTTGTACATGAGAATATAGCTAGAACATACAGAGACACTGGTCTATTACTGATAACAGAGCTTAACGATAAAGATTTTGCTTCGTTTTTGTTTTATAATATAGAGATATGGTCATACAATAGCTCAATATATTGCTAAGACTCTCAGATTGTATAAATGCTGGTGAATGGAACCACAGACTTCTTATATCAGTACGGTGATCTTTTATGATCAGCGGTTCTACAAAAGCAAACACAACATGTGGGTCCAGATTGCATTTGAGTAATTAGTGTCTAATGATCAGATTTACATATTTTTTGCCATGTTCATTATGGTCATTGAACAGGTTGCACAATATTTCCATTTATACTGAATGGAAAGATAATTGTTTGGTGCTTAATTTCTAATACCACCTTTAGCCTTGTAGTTTTTTGTCTTGGAGAGATGATTGATTTTTACAAAATGTAAACGTGAAGCATTTTGAAAACCCCTCTGAGTCAAAACACTACTAAGTTTTTCAAACACTCATGACATATTAAGAGTACCCCATGCAGTGAAACCCTCTAAAAATGAAGTATATGTATGAAAAATAAATACTATTTTATCACGGGTCAGTTTTTGAAACAGTGTTTAATGTGGTGGTTTTGAATGCAACCCTGTTATGTTTGGCAGGTATTTCTTTACCCGTTTTTTTTCTTTCTTTTCATTTCACAGCCACAACTTGTATTAATGTTCCTCACAGGGCTGAAAGGTGGAAGATGTCCCCCTGAATTAACAAAGTATTTTAAATGGAGGAATATAATGACATTCAATTTCTGATGGCAATAGAACTTAAATGCTCTTGTTTTACATGTAGAAATCTAAATTATGAATTTGTTATGTTTGACCAGTGTGTTCTGAAGTTGAATGGCTCCTCTAGATTTTTCAGCCTTTTACATTTTCACAAACTTTCTGAAATTTGATGAAAACGTTTCTCATATGCAGTAAGGCCTTTTGTCTGGTCACTTATAACTGAAGCCTTGCGGACAAATGGTTCCATAAAAAAGTGCTATTGGGGTGCTTGAATAAGGTTTGCCTGAGAGCTTCAGAACAGTTATGAACTTACATTTTGTGTGGATTTTAAGTTACTAGAAAGATGTATTTAGTTAGAATAAAGGGGACTTTCCTAAACAACCTTATTCACCATTTCCTGTGCAGTTCAAAGACAAAATAAAAGAGATTCTGTTGAACAAAAAAAGGGAGTCTCAATTGACATCCTGCATCTAATGATAGTGCGTTTCTTATTGTTTGTGGTTGAATTTCCTTGTAAAGCTCTCTTATGTGGTCTAGAGCTTCTCACTTTTGCTTTTCTTTGGTGTGACATGACCGCTGTGACCTACATTGCATCAAATGCTGTTTGTTATGATTTACTGTAAAGCTACAAACATACACGCAGGTCAAAGATAACTTGTGAAAAGCAGAACCTTGAAATAGGAACAGGAGGTGAGAGGGAAGTTGCACTGCAGAGCGTCCAGTGTTTTCTAGGCTTCCTTACATTTCAGGGTAAACTTGCTTGATTTAGGTGTTGATTATAGGCTTTTTTTGGCATGGCTACTATATATGCTGGCAGGAATCCGAGTGTAGTTTCCTTGAATTGTCGACGTCTGCGGCACCATCTGCAGCAGTTGCCCTCCTCACCACAACCCCTCTATTATCCCCTGGGGCAACTGGAAAGCCCCGAGGGTGGCAGAAGTGCGGTTAGCCTTTACCTGAAGTAGTGCTGACAGCGTTGTGGTACGTCGAGTTCCCCCTGTGTTTTCTCATGTAGTCAGTGGTTTGACAGCAATGCAGCATCTAGTGTGGATGCTTGAAACCAAGACGTGATCACCAAAAAATAAGTGGGGATCATGTCAGTTCTCAGTCTCACTGTTTCAGTTTCAGTGCAGCATGAACTTGTTGCTCCCACACATAACAAATGGTGATGCAGAGACCTGGCCTAAACACATCATAGGGTGTCTCCAAGCAGAAGTGATCATAATTACTAGAAGTTAGTGATGACGATGATGTAATTAGACAAGACATGAAAAACCCAGTTTGTGATATAATATTTTACACAATCCTCTGGTTCCTCCTCACATATTAAACAAACCAGAGGATGCAACATCATCACCCTATGTCACAATGAAATCATCCTCTGATATCGTGAGCACAGCCTGTCTGATGCTTAAACTTGTGGTGAGATGACACTGACATATTGCCTACTTTAGCTAAGCAGACCCTCCCCTTTACGCACATGTAAAAGTTTCTGATTGAGAAATCCATTTCCTGTGACCTTGGCAGCTTCCTGCACAAAATGCCTGCATGAAAATATTGTTGCAAAAAGACACTCATGGTCTGAGGAGCGGTTATAATGAGAAAATTCAGCAGAAATGTTTATCAGAATTAACAGAAGGTGCTAAACTTCTCAGGGATTGTTTTTATGACACCCCTAATTTACTACTCTAAACTACACTTTTCTGGTGGAAATTACCTTTGTCTGCCACACATTGTACTTTTCTCAAGAGTCCCCTTTGTCTTTGCTGATTATATTAGGTCATATTTAAGCCGGTGAAGCCATTGGAAGAATCACAAAACCCCTTTTTGGTATAAGATTGCAAGAGTATGGCATGCTTTTACTTGAATTTAGGGAACTTTATGTTACTCAAGGTACATTTACTCTATATGTAGAAAGCATTAGAAATAATTTATTGCACAAGAAATATCATTGCTGAGAAAGTTCTCACCCATGCTGTCTAGGTGGTGGTAAAAAAAAAGCACTTCATTGAACTGTGATAAAGGGTAGGCTGACCTCAGTCTCAAAGTTATTTTCATACATTTTTCTAATTTCAGCAGGTTAATGTTCCTCAAGTGATTTAAATATATCTATATTTGTGTAGTTTTTTCTGTGCACAAATAAAACGGAAGTGCTATTCAAAATACTTTGCGCTACACTGAAGGGTCACACATGTAATAATAATTAGACAACGTCCCTACATGCTTGCTCTGTGAACAGGCATGTAGGGACATGACAGAAAAAAAAAGCACATCTGAAAAAAAGGAGGAAATTCTGGGAAATTTGGTTGCCTCACACTGCACGTCATTTCCTCCTATGACAAATGTGTGGTTTCTGTCTTTTAAAAAAGTTTGAAAGGAGTGTGATTATGACGAGTCCGCGCAATTTGCCTGTGATACTGAGTGGAGAATGAATGGTCATGTAAAGAGTATGCATTTTCAACAGTTTATGGAACCAGCAGCAAGTAAGTGTTGTTACATCTACTTTTCTATTAAGACATTTAAAAAACACAGTTAAACACAATTACATCTTTTCTTGCTTCTCTACTGTGCATGCTTTTGTGGTTATTTTTGGTGCCTTTAGCTGCCTACGGCTGCCTCAAACTGATTGAAGTTTCAGAATCAATTTTACTACTTCAAAGTTTTCTGAACACAGTCTAGTTTTTTTTGCAGCATCAGTTAAGCAAATTAGTTTAACTGTTAACTGATTTTCAGAATCTGACCAATAAGAGACAATGACAATGTTTACTGGCATCTAAACATACCACAACTAGTAGTAGATTATATGATTGTGTTAAATGTCAGAACTGATAATAAAGCAGATTTTGGTGTTCTATTTTCACTTACTAAATGTTTGCAAAATGAAGAATCTATTTTATCCCTCCTTCCTTCCACTTGTGGCTTTAAAATGAAGTTCCCCTCACCGCTGGGATGTAGGATAACCTTAACTGACCAGTTCCTTTCTCCTCAGCATTACTCTCTCTCCTGCTGGTTATGGCTGTTGATTCAACAAGAACTGTGGCAGCAAGCAGAAACCCTGGGTATAATTCTCTGCAACAGACTTTGAAGCTGACCAGACTCGTAGAGAAGGAATCTGTCGACGTAATCAAAACATATGTGAGTGCAGACATAAAACTGCTGTATCTTATTTTGCTGTGTTAATTCCTCATCTGCTTGTTCAGTGCTCCACCTTTAAACATAATATGCTGACTATTTGTGTTCCTGTTTAAGATGTGTGGCTCAATTATTATCTGATCATCTTTTCTTCCTTTTTTGCAGAAAGCGTCTCAAGGAGAAATGTCAGAGCTCTTCTGCAAGGTGTCAGTTAACGACGTCCCTGACTCCAACATCTCCGGCCTGGAGCCCTCAGAATGGATATTGAGCATCTTCACACATCTCCAGGCCTTTTTCCCACATTTCAAACGGGTGTATGAGCAGCAGACGGACTTACAGTCGCCCACGAGCCCACTGCTGGCCGAGCTCACCACTGTCAGTATTCGCAGCATGAGCTTGGCTAAACGCATAAGCAGCTTTTATCAGAGCCTCTTCCCAAACTTGCCTGTACCCGAGCCAGCAGGGGGGCCGACAACACTACCTCCACCTCAGAATGTCTTCCAACAGAAGGTCTATGGCTGTGTGGTCCTGAAGACTTACAAGGAGTTTCTGTCAAATGTTTCCCAAAAACTGAGGACTCTTAAACCCAAAGTGTGCAGAAGGAGGATGCAAATAAACAAATTTTTCTTCTTCTGAGGATGACCCAAGGCTGGCCTTAGACAGTCTGCTTTCAACAACACTTATACTCACTGGTTTGACAAAGACTTAAAAAGATAAGTGACTATGAAGGTGGCTGGTACATCAGCGTAATGAAGCCTATTTATGGTATTTAATATTTATTTTCTTCAGTGTCTCTGGTAAGAGGAGTGCTGTTAAAAGATCAAGAGTGTAATAGTATCTCTATCCAAGTTATGTATATTTAATTTGTCTAATATGTTATGTAAGGTTCTCCTTTGCTGATGTAAACTTATTTGCTGTACAATTATTAAAAGATACTTTGCAGCTTTACTTTGTTATGATATTTCTTTTCTCTGTGGTTGCATCAATAATGTATCATTTCAGCAGCATGGCAGTGCCTGGAAAAAAGACAACTGCAAAAAGTTAATGCATTATGTGCATTATTCTTATTTGCTAGACTAAATTTGAGTAAAAATATGTCTGCTTCTACACTATTAAGAAAGATTTTTAGTTTTTTACAAGAGTGTAACTTGTGCTGGAGGTATCATGTGCTGTGTTCTGCACAGTCCATGAAGAGGGGTTAAAAGAAAATCAGGAAGCTGCTGAGACGCTGACTGTGTGATATCAGCTCAGAATGACGCATGTGTACACAAGGCTGCATCAGATAGGAAAGATTTCATGAAACTGGCGGGCCGTCTGGCCAGTCACAAGGTGTGGGTGTGTGTGGGTCAGATAACTGTGTGCGTGGTTTGCACACTTGCATCCTCATATAGATGGAGATGCAAGTGTGTGAAAGGTGGGCGGAGGAAAACAGAAGCTGGTATTCTGCAGAAAACCTCCCACTTTAAAAAAAAATATGATTAACAGCCTGCAAACATGTCATATACATATATTTACCATATATACCCAATATTTTTGTTGGAATGAAGTAATGCTTAACTAAACTTTCCTCAGATCACAAGCTCTCAGGAAAATGGAAGTAGATGGGGGATTCACTCTAGGTCATGAATCAAGTTCCCTGTTATAACTCTGTTTTATTTAAAGCACAAACACAGAGGGTACCTCAGGGCAATAGTCACTCTTCAGTCTACATTATTCATTCATTTTCACTACCTACCTACCAACTTAATACTTTACAAGACCTCAGAGAGCAAAGAAGTCTAACACAGCAGATGCAGTATTCGTGACACCTTAAAACACTCCTGTCGGAGGAAAACCAGATAACTTGCACACTTTCTTCAAAGGGAAAGAACACAAGGAACCTAACTTTTGCAGTGCAGAGTAGAGCTCAGGTGGGTAGGAATGTCAATGGAATTACCAGTTATTACAATTCATTCTAAGTTTGTACCAAATTTTATGCTAATCCACCCAATATTTGTCAATGTGACAAATTTCAATAAAAAACATTTCAAACTCCTACTTGCTACCAAAGTAAATAAGATGACATCTGATCATCACAAATGCCTCTACAAAATGTTGTGCCAGTCCACAGATGTAAAGATATTTGATTATCTAGGGACATGAATACAAGTAGCAAATGGCATGGCACTCCATCCAACACGTTTCAATAATGGTTATTCATAATAAAAGCTTTCCAAAGCTCAATGCAAACTATACCAGTGTGATATATATCAGTGTGACCTAAAAATAAATTTAAACTCAAAACAAGTATAATGTTTATACCAAATGTTATCATTCAAATAGTTTTAGGGTTTTTTATACGTGGAGAACACATATTAACCTGCTGTTATGTGATGGATCCTGTTGCACATTTGGAGCAACATTTCTCTACAAAACCAAAGACAGATGGCCAAACAGATCAATATGCAATGTCACTGTCTGTAGTGAGCACAAGTACGGACAATTAGAAATCTGAAACACAATTACATATGACTCATTTTATTGCAAAGTATGAACAGCTTTATAAAGTAAATAGTACAATGGCATTGACAGTAAAAGTGACAAATCTAAACATTCAAATTGAAAAGCATTTCATTATACATTTTGCATAATCTGTAACTACTATAGAAAAATACATAGAAATATCTTTACTGAGTCAGGTGCAGGTTTATTACGATTTAACATGCTTTTACATATTTTGACCTGTGGAGGGCAGTATACACCCATGACTGAATACATTGAATGAAGTATTAAGTCAGAATGTGCTGATGAGTATCTTTGGACATAGATAGTCTATATATTATATCTCTATACTGCTGTCCATTGTTTTTATGTTAATATGGACCTATGTTTCTGAAATAAAGTTAAATTGAATTGAATATCACTTGGCATTCACAGGAAATATAAAGAAAAAAGTTAGTATACATGCAACACACAAAATAAAGGCCCAATAGCTGCCTGTACAGTAACACAAGCTAGCGACAGAATAAACAGGTACTGATAAAAACCTCAAAGGAAACATGGTCTTTTTTTGGCAATTTTAGCCATGTTTATTGATAGTGACAGAAGTATCAGCTGGCAGGAAACATGAGGAGGTTTGCGTGGGGTGACAACAAGGTCCCTAGTCAGACTTAAACGGGGGATGTTGTGGTTATTACTGCATATGATATACAACGTAACCACTACACCCACAGGACACTTCTGACTTCCTATTTGAAATCAGCTTGAATTTATTCTTACACTGCTTTCTTTGTTTGTCCACTTTGCACTTTAGCTCAAAGAATTTCGAGCCTTTCTGAAACGGTTTATGAGAGATTACTGTTAAGGTTTAGCTTGAAATTTTAACTTTTCATGTAAAGTTATTAAAACCGGACATGATGACGTTACAAAAGCTTCATGTTCACATGTTGGATGATATGTTGGAATAAGGAGGGATCTCCATATTCTCCACTTTGTGTCATGACTTCTTTGCAAGTTCTCAAATATAAAATATTGGAAGGAGATTATATATCACAGAATACACCATTGACAAAGATTATTTCCATGAGTCATTCACCCTCTAAGAAGGTCTGATGTAATCTGCTCAGTGTTATGTTTTCAAGGTTTATGTTAACTAAACTTTATTAAAATGTTTGAAATGAAAAATAACCATTTGTGTGTTTTTAAAAAGTTATAATGATCGAATGGAGATCAAATGGATTTGACTAAAATAGTTTTATATTAAGACATACTGTATATAGCCTCCTCTTCTTAAAGAAGCCCTAATTTGGATAACTGCCTTTAAGCATTTAATCTTGCATGACAGCACTCCCATTTCCTTTTTATCAGAAATAAGCATCGTGAACTGAAGTCAGATCTATTTCATAGAATCTTTTATTGTGCAAATGTGGTGTGCAAAGCATGCACCAAGTGTCATATTTGTAACATGAATAAAAATTATTTCAAGTTATTGCATTTATATTATTAGATACATTTAAGGACACACCTTTATATCCCTGATTATTATTAAGAGTTATTGATTTATGGCATTAACATTTTTAAATGTTCTTCAGGCATCCATATTTGCATGCATAGAATCTGCTACTGTCTGCTACTCCAGACATGGATATTTGATTATTGCTTTGTTGAACTACTAACAGGCTGGTTGTTATTTAACTGATTATCTCATATTATTACTAAGAATCAAATAAACTACCCCTAATACATCCACAGTGTACATATTTTCTTTGAACTTGCATAGCTATTCAAACATGAGTAAGGCATATATTCAATGCAAGCAACAAACTGGTGTAGGAAACAACAGATAGTTACTGAGTGAAACCATATACAGTTTTCCCAAAGTCATCACACAGTTTAGTCTTCCAATCTCACTTACATAAGGTTGTTGTGTCCATTCTCAGAAAGCGAATGTTCATTCTTGATTCGATTTCGAAGCCATTCAGCAACTAAAAACAGAGTTTTACATAATTTAAAATGTGTATTGCTGATAACATCATTATTCTTGGAAGTGGTAAGGTTGACGTTTTATTTGAGAGTTTGCAAAAACTAAAAAACTATTTCATTCAATATAATTCATATCAACTATAATAACATGTTTAAATGCACTTTCAAAGCATGGTATTTAACTAAGGAAGTACTTTGAGAAAATATATTTTAGTGTGTATTCTGAGTACCAACCTTGAGGAAGTGCTCAAATGTGATTCCTTCATAGAATTCATCGGGTTCCTGCATGTGAAAAAGTTAAGTTACTGATGTTATGCAGAGAAACAGAGAATTAAACCTAATGTTAATTTACATACCATGTGACCCATTGAAATACTCGCCACCTCCAACATGGCTGCATCAGCAATGCTTTTGGCTGTGTTCTTCTCCAGTGTCTCACTGAGAGACAGCAGCTCCTCAACCAACTAGACAGATGTGAAAATGAAATAATTTTACTACATAATATGACTACAAATCCCATATCTCGGAAGGCTTGAGTAAAATTAAATGCCTCATCCTTTGCCACATTAGTCACCAATTAAGTGTTGCAAAAAAGCAGCTGACTCTCAGAGATACTGCATCTTGAATCACCTTCAAAATTCTGCTGAAAATGACCAAATGATGCTAATAAAAGCAGACACAGATAACAGTATAATGCACATGATAAACTCATGATAACACATGATGATTTCCGCAGACTGTGAGTAGAGTTCGTTGTGATCGTCACTGGTTATTTAACAAACAAAGTTAAAAAAAAAAAGATTTGAAACTGCATTTTTCTGTCCAGAGAAGTGAGCAGAGGCTTACATGTCTGTATTCCTCTAAGGTTATTGTCCCATCGTTGTCTGTGTCATGCATGTTGAATAAAACTGCAGAGAAAAACACAACTGTCAGTTTAACAGCTGTGCGTCAGCCACAGATAATGTCAAACATGTGATCATGTGATTTGTTCTAAAACACACATCTTAGTTTCTCCCTCCTGACACTCTCACGCTGCTCCTGTGTCATGTGTAGTGACGGGGGTCTGAAATGGGACATGACCACCAAGAACTCCTCAAAACCGATCTCCTGAACCGTACCCTCACCATTCTCACGGAAGTTTCTAAAGAAATGTATAAAGAGCAAATGAACTTCTGACTTTTAAAGACTGACTGTTTGTGATGCAGCAAAAAAGAAAGCAACATTTCAACTATGATTACTGTACCTCCTGTCAAAGAAGGCCTCTACGATCTGTGCACGGATGGGATTGCACGCTAGATCTGGGATTTCATTGAAGTGATCTCTCCTGAGGGTGTAAACAGCGTTTTAAGGAGTGGCACACAGTGTGACAAAGTAATACACAACAGTTTCCAGCTGTATGTGTGATTCAGTATATGCCAGCATGAAACCTGTTATTCCAAAGAAAATTGCTGTTTGTTAAGAAAACTAATTTGCTTAAAAAATAAATCACATGATTATAAACCTTAAGGGTACACGACTCTTACTTAAAAATCATACAAATCTAACTTACCGCAGAGTTTCTTCATTGTGGCTCAACTGCTTGAATCTTGTATGTAAGACTCCAATCTGTCTAAATGAAACTTAAAACAGAAAAGAGCCAACCACTCAAGTTATTTCATGTGCACGCATAAATAATCTTAACACCCACAAAACAAGACATAAAACTCTTCAATGCAATTAATCATTTGACATTTAAATATGTTGTTTGCTGAGAATTTGATGTTAACAGCTCCTCATTTGTGAGAGGCTTTCAAGGCAGCAGATTTGGATATTCATATTTTATGTAAAGCACTTGTTATTGTCTGTCACCCTGCAACTATGTTTTACAAGAGGCTACAGGTGAATTAAAGCAGATATTGAAGCATATAGGAAAAACAAACCATAAGCAGATATGTGTTAGATTGATCTCTTTCTCTTAAACTATCAAAGCTTTCAATGTAGTGTCTGATCTATTATTAACTCCCTCTGTAAACTAGATAAAGTTACACTCCCATTAACATGCAGTTTAAATTATTCAGTACTACTGCACCAAACGGGCAGGTTTTTCCATACACATATACTGGACATGTGTACATATATATACTGAAGGCAAACAGTGACCATCTCTTTACTTAAGACGTCAGACATTACGTTAAAATGATCGGATTTCCCCTTTAAAATGTGACTTCAAATTATAATTAAAATCATATTTCCGGTGCAGTGAGCTCCGGTTTTCACACCTCCTACACGCATGACGGATGTCATTTAAAAACAAACAATAAACACGATTACTCACAGCCCGTCTTTTCCGCCAGATCACTGTATTCATGTTGACCAGGTGAGGACTGTAGCGCACCCATACCTACCCCTATTCAGCCCTGTTTTTTAACGGGACCCAGGACAGGCCAGAAACGAACCTACGCTGTTGAAACTGAAAACGGATCTCAGGAGGATCACGTTACCGGATCATCCATCTCCACAGGAGTTGTTTGTTTGGCAGACCCGAGGCTCTCACACACCTCTTCCCCCCTGCACGGTCGCCAGGTCTCATCCCCGGCAAACAGCGTAGCTACTTCCGCAACCACCGTCCCCGATGACGAGACACACACACACACACATTCACAACAGGCTGCAGTTTGAATTATTAATGCAGACTTTATTTATTTATTCAGAGGCCGAGGCCTGTTTGTGTTTATGCAGCAGCGGTGTCGGAGTGCAGAGAAAGGCACACATGTAGTTCTCAAATATAATACTGGCTGGATAATGTGACGAGGCTGTATGAGCCTTTATACGGTGGCCTTGAAGTGCAAATGAGATAGCCTAGTCAGAAATCTTAAGTATTTTAATTATTTCTTATCTAGCCTGTAGGCTATTTGCACAGGTTTGCCTCACTGTGTCAATGTGACTGACTTTACTGCTTTAACCCGTCTAACTGCCAGTTTCACAGGTGGATCCACCTGTTTTAACTCGTATATCTGCAGCAAAACTGGCAGCAAAACGTCACTTTAAACTTCCTGGACAACATTTCAAGATAAACTGTTAAATAAATATGTGTAAAATGATATCAATAAATGTGTAGCCACGGCATTTTGATAGATATAAGGTCAAATATAAAAATGGGAAAGCAATCTTGTACAAATGTAGGTAGATTCATTGATTTCTTTTTCTCTCTCTCCATTCTTTGCTGTACTTCAAGCACTTTATCACTTAAGTTTTATAAATCATAGTTAATTGTAACCTGCACTGACAGACTGACATATTTCTGCAACATGACTTCTTGCATTTTGAACTGGATGTCGAAGTGTTTGTGGTGTGTGGCCTGAAGTTCAACAAGTTCAACATATTTGAATGCTTCAAAACCACTGAATACCTCCAGTGTGTGAGTCACTGTTAAATTAAGAGCCTGACATTTGCAAATGTATCCAAAACACAATGTGATGTCTAAAAAGTTTCCATAAATGATAAATAGTGTGGTGACTGTAATCTGAGCTTTTAAAGAAACTCTTTCATGTACATAACACGACTGCATGTAAAACCACTGAAGTAACAAAAGTGAAACAAGTGACATGCTGAATACGTTTTTGATTAAAATGATGCAGTACTAACACACACCACACGGTGGCAGTATATTGTCAACAATGTAACATCAGTTTCTGACTGTAGGGAAATTTCTGTTATCCCTGAGGTTGTTTTGTTCTCATCAGAGCAGGGGTAGAATACATATATAGGGTATGTGTGTGTGCATTAAAGTGTTTATTTTCCGTTACTTGAGGGTAGCATTTGCTTTACATCAACTGTGTTGAATGTATTGTTTTTCAGTATTGTCATCAACAAATGATACACTGCCAATTCTCTTTCACCGTCATCTGTAAGGCATTGTGTAGATCATTATTAAACTGTGATAAGCTGATCCCAACCTGTCCTGTTTCCCAGCTGTCTCTAAAGCCCACTGAGTGTAACTGTTGTCCTCCAGTGATGAGCAATAGCTGTCACTGCTAATGGTGAATCAACAGGCATTGTACAGAAAAAAAAACAGTGACACAATCGAACTGCTTGAGAAAAAAAACCCCATCCTACTATTTTATCCGTCTAATCTCCATTTGACATGTGCTTTCATGTTAACTCACAGTGACGCAAATTAGCGACCACCTCTGTTTGTGTTCCTTCTAGACACCATTCTTCAGGTTGGTTTCACAAATGGGCCAAAAATTATTAAAGCCGCATTTCTCTAGAAGTCAGATATATGTGTGTATAATATTCCTGAACAATACTGTAATCACACCTGGAGATTGTCGGAAATTGTTGCTTTTTAAGTTTAATTTATTATAAACAGTCTATCGGGAAATCATCCTGTTATGATACAAATCACTTATTAAGTAAATGAGGGTGCAGTAATAGAGCTGTGCTACATTAAGAGAGTTCAGAAATGACTAGAAGTCTTTATACTTGTTATGATACAACAAGTTAATTAGAGTCCCTCAAGATATAATCATCTGCTTGTGAGAGCTCTTTGTTCTCAGTATTGTTTGACTACAATAAAATGTGAACTGTGTCAAATATTAGTCTAGTTGGGAGGCCCCGGGACAATCGTTTGTTCTTGCGCCCTATGCACCCTCCTCCAACAGTAGTGGAATATAAGTAAGTATTTACTCTCAAATTCAAATGACTTAATTTCCATTTAATGCTACTTTATACTTCTATACCACTACATCTCAAAAGGCAAAGATTGCACTTTTTTACTCCATTACATTTGTCTGAATGGATTTGTATTGGTAACAAATTCTCAGGTAACACTGTGATTACAGGGTAAAATTGTTTTACTTAAATAATTGAAAATACTGTTAATGAAAAAACTTTTACTGGCAGCCGGATGCCAGTAAGTAACTGTAAAATGTACAGCACATCAAAATTTTGTGATTTTAAATGTTTGTGTATGAGTTGATTGTCATACTTCTTGAGCTAAACTATGTAAAGCCCCTTTTTAAGAAAAGAGCTATGTAAATAAAGCTTTACTGACTTACTTCACTAACTTACTCTTGGATTAGCTGGAAAATGTCACAAACCTGAAAACAGGGATGTTTTTCTGAGCTCATGAAAAGTTGACTTGTTAGAGATACATGGTTCTCACAGGATAGCAACACCAAAAACACATGATGTTACAGAATATGATGCATTGCTATAGATAAAACAAACTAACAGTATATAAAGTATTTAAAATGAGTACAACTTTAAAAAGCTATAGAATACAACAGACCCAAAAGCAGCAATATTAATCTAAAACATTATCTATAATAGTAAACCACTGACAGAACAGATTTTGAATGCAGGACTTTTCATTAAAGCTTTAGATTACAGCCCACAATTTACAGCGTAATTACTTCGGAGTTACGCTATAACAATACAGTATGTAGCAGTACACATATGTAGGTACTGGGGAACAAGATGTGAAGTTGTAATGCTGGTAGAACACAAATGACAGGGGTTTTAAACATTTTAATGCATAATTGTCAACATGTGTTTACACAAGACACAATGACATCTAGGGTGGGTGAATTCTGTCCGCTGAGGCCATAAATGAACGTCCAGTAATCAAGGATGCTGGTGTGGTAAACAGCTGAGAGAAGCTTACATCATCCATGACAACACAATGTCCCCTGAAGTCCCAATTTTATGTGGATGTCATTGCTGAAAATTCACACTAGCCCAAAAAACTATGGTAATACTTGGGAAAAGTACAAAAAGGACAATGGACTCACAAAACAGGTCGAGAATTGTTTTTTAATTCACCTGTGTGACTTTGGTAGACAAAACTTTAAAGAAGGAAAATATGTTGGAATGATTTTCAAAAAGACTTTGACACAGTATATCGTATTATCTGGCAGTAAACATATTGCTGTAAAATGGTTAACTTCTTATCTTACTGGAAAAACTCCAGTATGTGATGTTGATGGGGTATCAGAACCTCACAGTATGACATGTGGAGGATCCCAAGGTTCTATTTTGGGTACCCTTAGCAGCCGTGACGTGTTAGCTCTTGTGGTATGCTGATGATTCTGTGTTACTGGTATCTGGGAATAATATCAGTGAGATTGAGAACCATCTAAATGATGAAGCTACTTTTTTGACACTGGTGCCATGTTGTGGATCCAGGGGTTATAGAAGTCAGGTTATTGATAAATACAGCTACTTTATTTTAGTTGTTCTTGTTTGTTTCGATGGAGGCATTTTAGATTTTGTGAAATGTGCTCGTGGATTTCAGCACTTTGTTGTTTTTAGTTTTTTTGTGTTATTTTGTGTTTTTTTTGTGTTTTCTTATGTCTTCTAACATCTTGGGACCATGTTGAAAAAAGGCATTTTCACTTGATAATGTTATCCTTTCTCTTTAAGTAAAGGATGTGAATACTTCTTTCACCACTGTTCCCCAAACACTCTCATACTCAGAAACCCAGAAAGCAACCGTCATTACTGTGCTAAAACACTTGGCCACATGTAGCCTAATAAAACACAGAAAAACACACAAGGGCCACACAACAAGACAAGGAATCAATATTTGGATAATGAAGGACTCACCATAGTTCTTAAATTAGTACTCAGACAATCAATTCAATTTACAGGGTTTTTGGTGTCCCTGGGGTCCCTGGGGTCCCTGGGGTCTGGTACTCTGGGGAAGTTGGGACATCAGTGCACACAGAACCCGTTCATTTATTTTTCCCGTACACAAGATTTTTTGCATCCCGCAGTGCACAATCAATCTTGTGTGGAAAAAAAACTATACACCAATACCATACATTCTCAACAATACATTTTCTCTTCTTTATCAGTCCCTGCCCTTGAAATGTTCTTTCGCATAAAATTGTCTCACTTGCTGCATTTTGTGTTTCTGTGTGTTGTAACTATTACTGAGCGCACTACATTTGATGGTTTGAAATTGATTTGAATAAAGGCTGTGCTTCTGAGAGAGGGGGAGAAAATAAGGAGGTGTTTGTTATATACAGAAACAAAAAGGGGCGGAAAAAGCGTGGCCAAGGAGAGAGGGCAGCCTGAGCCTGTTTTGCATGCACGGGGGCTTCTGTGGGAGAAGGAGTTGACAGGGCGCCGCAGTGCTGCCTCCAGCTCTCAGACAACAGCTGCTCAGAAAGAAGAGACATCCTGAGGGTGCTGCGACATGTCTCGCTCTTTCTCCATCTCTCTTTTTCACCTGTCTGCCTCTTCCTTTTACCGAACAGACATACGCTAGACACATGCGCAGCACACTGCCTTCCCCATATTCACACATCTCTTTCTCAATGACATGGACACACACACACACATTGGGGCATGCTGCAGGTTGTGAGATTCATAAGAAATTGGCAGGCTGCCTGTACTCAAACAAAAATAAACTCAAAATAAATCAGGTAAAAGCTGAATTTTTGATGAAATCTGTTTGTTTGTCCTGCTTACTTAGAACGATGTTTATGAAGAATAATTATCAGCAGTTTAATGGAAATGAAGTTTTCTTCTACTGTTTTCCAAGCTGCTGATGACATAAATTAAAGTAGAAAAGCCTTTGAATTAACATCAAAACCCCTTATTGGTGTAATTCGGTTACTTATGAAGTTTATGTTAAAGCTTTTGATCCATTTCCTTGTGCAAAG